CAGGAATGGGTGTTTTGGCTTATCCGAGCTTTGGCTTAATACCCTCTGCATCCAGTCACATGCTCCAGGAGGATCTTTGCCCCACTGGTCTCTGTGCAGCTGCTCCTGGGACCAGAGGATGCTCTGGCAGCACAGGAGCTCAGGGCCTGCCTGCCATCTCCAAGGAGGGTTTAAAACAGGCTGGTGCAGTCGCAGCACTGGGGATTTCTGTCTGAAGCTCAGCCCTGCTTGGATTTGGGATTCTCGGATGACTGCCCACCCCTTGGTGACTCAAGGCCTTTCTATTCTTCCACTGTCTTCCCATCTCCAGAGTCTCTTCCAGAAACATACTAGGAGACAAGATCTGATTTTTTTCAACCTAAAAGAACTCTGCCTGAAACTTCACAGTTTTTTTCCTTCTTTCTTTTTTTCCCCGCATTGAACCAGAGGACTTGAACGCGTGCCCAGGGTCACACACCTCGCTGTGTCTTGCACACGAGCTCCCTGGTGGGCTGTCCCTCCTCCCTGAGCCCTGGCCTCCTGCCTTGCTTCAGCCCCCACCTTTGCAGGAGGGGCTGACATTTTTGCAGCCGTTTGGTCTTAACCTCTTGCAGGCTGACTCATATGTACTGTCTGGCTAATTTTAGTCTGGGGTGGAGAGCTGGGGGAGAAAATTGAGTAGCTGTGAAATTAATTTAATTACCTAAGTGGCGATGAGTTTCTCACAGCTGCCTTGGGCGTCCCTCTGGGCAGTGCCTTGTCCCTGTCACTCAAAGCTGCATGTCTTGCCTTGGAGGCTGGTACCCAGCCTATGTTGAGGTCCTTGGTCTGGTTTTGTCTCTTATCTTTCCTGGGATGGTTGAGAAGGGCTGTGAAGGGGCATCAGCCTGAGGGATGGATCATCCCCTGTGTGCAGGTGGACAGAGCACAGACACTGGTGGCAAAGGAGGGGGACCTGTGACAGTCTTTTTCCTTGCAGCCTCCTGGTCAGGCACTGAACACAGAGTTGCACATTGGTGCTGCTGGCTGTGAGCAGGCTGCCTTGCAGGCAGGCTTAGCCAGAGCCCAGCTGCTATGACTAATAATAATGATAATAATGTTTGTCATGCTAATTACTACAGCAGAGTCGTCTCAGGCATCTCCAGTCTGGAACGAGGGATCTGCAACATTGCCTGGCCATTAGCATTTGACACTGGTGGGTTTTGCTTAGGGTGTTGTGCCCCAGCATGGAGGCAGTTGGTGGCATGTGCCAGCCAAGGTGTGATACAGCTGCAGGGGCACAGGAGGATGGGGCTGAAGCTGCAGTCCCTTCATCCGGTGCAACTTTTGGCAGGGAGTTGGAGGCTGTGGGGACTACTGAAGGGACAGGGACCAGCCTGGATGGAGCAGGAAGCAGAGGGGAAAGGGAAGAGGGAGGGCTAGGCCTAGTGGCTGCTGTTGCTGGTGACAGCCAGCCCAGTCTGCTGCTCCTGGCATGGGACAGCTCAGCAGCTTCACAGAAAATTGCTTGTCTTGATTGTGCTCATGGGCTCCAGTTTCAAGCTGGGCTGGGAGTGAGAGTGTTGGATACTGCAGTGGAAATAGCTGGAGCTGCTCTCTAGTCTGCTGCTGGAGATGGCTGGCAGAGGTGGGCTGTGCTGGGCAGGGGCTGCTGGGCATCGTCGTCAGCCCCGTGTGAGTCAGTGCAGGCTGGACAGAGTCACTGGCTCTATTTTTAGGGCTGGGGATCAGCAGGGAGCACGACGTGTGCTGTGTGGCATCCTGGGCAGAGAGGGACATTGGCTCAGAGCAGGGCAGAAGGGCTGTGGCTCGGGAAGGGACCAGGGGGGAGGGTTAGCCCCCCCCCCAGCTGCTATGACTAATAATAATGATAATAATGTTTGTCATGCTAATTACTACAGCAGAGTCGTCTCAGGCATCTCCAGTCTGGAACGAGGGATCTGCAACATTGCCTGGCCATTAGCATTTGACACTGGTGGGTTTTGCTTAGGGTGTTGTGCCCCAGCATGGAGGCAGTTGGTGGCATGTGCCAGCCAAGGTGTGATACAGCTGCAGGGGCACAGGAGGATGGGGCTGAAGCTGCAGTCCCTTCATCCGGTGCAACTTTTGGCAGGGAGTTGGAGGCTGTGGGGACTACTGAAGGGACAGGGACCAGCCTGGATGGAGCAGGAAGCAGAGGGGAAAGGGAAGAGGGAGGGCTAGGCCTAGTGGCTGCTGTTGCTGGTGACAGCCAGCCCAGTCTGCTGCTCCTGGCATGGGACAGCTCAGCAGCTTCACAGAAAATTGCTTGTCTTGATTGTGCTCATGGGCTCCAGTTTCAAGCTGGGCTGGGAGTGAGAGTGTTGGATACTGCAGTGGAAATAGCTGGAGCTGCTCTCTAGTCTGCTGCTGGAGATGGCTGGCAGAGGTGGGCTGTGCTGGGCAGGGGCTGCTGGGCATCGTCGTCAGCCCCGTGTGAGTCAGTGCAGGCTGGACAGAGTCACTGGCTCTATTTTTAGGGCTGGGGATCAGCAGGGAGCACGACGTGTGCTGTGTGGCATCCTGGGCAGAGAGGGACATTGGCTCAGAGCAGGGCAGAAGGGCTGTGGCTGGGGAAGGGACCAAGGTCCCACATGCTCTGGTCACCTTGGGGAGGGGGAGTGGGTACAACCCCCACTCACTGTGCCCTAGCCAGGGTCTTCAGCATCTGTTGAAACAACCTAAAAGTCCAGATCAGCCAGATGTGTTTTTGCACAACCCCTGGGGAAGGGGGACTAGGGGAAATGTGCAGCTGGAGGAGCTCAGCTCAGGCATGTTCACTGGCTGAAATGGGAATACCGGGAAGGGTATGACTCCCTTCCCACGGGAGCTGTGGGCTCACCCATTTCCCCTTCTCTTTTGCTGCAGAGCCCAGGAGCTACGTTGAGTCAGTGGCCCGCACAGCCACGACAGGCAGGGGAGGGACCCTGCCTGCCACCCAGCCCGGGGGCCCAGAGGTGCCTGCTAGGAATGGCACCTTTGCCAACTCCTTCACTGCCCCCAGCCCCATCTCTACCAGCAGCCCTATTCACAGCGTGGACGGGTAAGGCAGTGGTTGAAGGTCCTGGGGACTGGTGGGACCAGGGATGAACCCTGCCTGGTGTGTGCAGGCTTGGTTCTACTTGGAAATTGTCTTTGCAAGGACCCCTGTCTCCTCATGAAGAGTTTGGGGGTCCTGGCTCACCATGTGGCTCACTGTCCTCAGGATACAAAGCTGCATCACTAGTCACTGTTCTTTGGCAGCATCTTGCTGGGGTCTGTGCTAACCTCTAGCCCTGGGTTGCCTGAGCATTGATGCCCTGTGGTGTGATGGAATCATTGTCCCTGTCATCTCTCCACTCTGCCCATGGGTTGTCCTGTGCTAGCTCACCTGGAGAGGCTGGCAGGGAGGAATGAACTGAGCATTCTGCTAGGAGAGGAGCTGGAAAAAGGCTCCGTCTCCCAGAAAGTCATATTTTGAGAAGGAAATAGGATGTATAGGGCAGCTAAAGCTGCCTCTAGTTGCTTTCATGCAGCTGGCAGGAACCGTCCCACTGTTGCCTCTGAGCAACCACACAGCTGGCTGCTGCCATGCCTCAGTTTCCCTGTGCACCACTCAAAGGAGGGTGCCAGCCAGCAGCAGGAGTGAGGCATGGACCTGAATCCTCCTTCTTATCTCTCCTCAGGGCATCTCTCCGCAGCTACCCATCAGAGGGTAGCCCCCACAGTACGGTTACACCTCCCCACACCTCGGCTGAGCCTATTTATCGATCACCTGTTGGCTCGCAGGTGCCCTCTGCTCACAGCAGCTACCAAAACTCGTCTCCGTCTTCCTTTGCAATGGTCCAAGGTGGGGTACCAGGCTCGACATACACCAGCCCTGACTACCCCGATGGCCGAGCCG